TATAAATGAAAACATATCCTTTATAATTGATAGCCTGCACTAGATCCACTAGTCCCAATTGACGTGCTCAATTAGGCATCCTTTTAAGGATTTATAGTCATCGTTCGCAGGGGGCACTACTGCAGCATCGTGGATCACATTCGCCACAGCGGCGCTAGAGTGTCTAGATCTCGCGTCTAGGAACTATGGAGTAATATGGAGTGATAGCCACCCTGGATAGGTATGGCTCATATGTATTACTCTTCCAACCTTGGAAGGGTCTTTTTATTGATATCTAGCCAATCTAACCAATCGGACCTATATAGCGCCCAAGGTCCATCTCAGCCCGAGGCAATAATATAATCCCATTGTCAGCCACAGTGCCCAACTCTGCTCTATTGGCTATGATGGTTCCGAGAGCCTCACAGTCATAAAACATTTTTTCTAGGGTTTGATTAGCATTGCAAAGCACCATGTGAATAAGGATATGGTACATGATTCTGGAATTTCCCCATTTGCCCAAGTACATTAGCGTACTTCGTACATGTGTTATGAGATCAGCACGAAAGATCTGGGATCTTGCATTATTACCGGGGATGCACTAGAATATGCGCTGGCATTTCAGCTGAAAAGATCTCTAATCTCAAATCACAATGGGGTACGGGAAAACCGAGCCGACGGATGCGTACATTGCCTATAGCGTGGTCGATCGGCCCCCGAGGTCAGCCTAGACTGAGCTGTCATCTACGGGATCCACTGAGGATGCAAATCAAAAAGGAACGAAGTCATAACAATGTCATTGTTTCATGTTCTAAAGGGATGTATGTTTTTCCAGCACGGAACATTTGAATAGATATAATCTAGATGAAATGCCTTGATACGCGTTCCCTGGAGGTCAGGGCTTTTAATTTTATTTTTTTTCGAAGTGGGGGAGGTATGTATCTGGACTGGTCATTTCTAAGAGTTTGATGTAGAAGATTCTATTTCAAATGGACTACAATAAGTAAATATCAATAAGTTCTTACTAGTAAGTATGTACATCTAATATATATACAATATAATACACAACTTTGAAAGTTACAAAAAAAGACAAGAAAAAAACAGAAAAAAACAGAAGAAAAAACAGTTTCCATGGATGATGACATTGCCTCTCCGAACCTTGGAACCATGGAAGAAACCGTTTTGATTGTCGCCTTAAATACTTCCGTCTCAGCCGACCCCGATCTTTTTTATAACTTCTCTGCTCTACCTTCCATATATTAATGTGAACGTCTCCCTACACGCCATTCATAGACACATTCCTCCCCGCATTCCTGGATCCCACCGAATTCCTCTTCCAACTGGAAGCATTCCGCATTAAGAATCTGTCGGGATTCATGCTGTTCGCGGCGTGTTTCACATAGTGCTCCGTGTATAGAGTGCGCCTTGATCGGCTTCTCGCGCATTGCGCATCCAAATTTTGCTACTTCTTCAATTACCCTACAATAATCTTCAAGTATCTTCTGTCTGGCAACCACTCACGATGCCTCCAAATCGGTGGGAGAAGACTAAGAGCATCTCAAAAAAGGGCTTCGACAAAGCATGGGATACTGTCGACAAGCTCGGCGGCCCCGTCAACCGCTTATCGCATAAGCTGGGCGCCGAAGCCTTCTGGCCTATGACGATTGATAAAGAAGCCGACAAAGCCGCACGCATCCTGCGCAGCTTCTGCAGAGATGGCTTCTATGCCCCTGATACAACCACCGGCACCGATGAGAATGGCAAGATCAATCGCCCCAAGGGCAAGCAGCGCGTTATCCAAAAGATCCCAACACAAGTCCTCAAAAAGGCCAAGGGAATCGCCATCTTCACGACCATGCGCACAGGTCTGTGGGTGAGCGGATCTGGCGGCAGTGGCGTGCTGATCGGTCGCCTCCCCGACACCGGCGCATGGAGTCCGCCATCCGGTATCATGTTACACACGGCCGGGATAGGCTTTCTCGCCGGCGTTGACATTTATGACTGCGTGGTAATCATCAATACCTATGAAGCGCTGGACGCATTCAAGAAATTCCGCTGCACGCTCGGCGGCGAGGTCAGCGCAACGGCGGGGCCTGTGGGCATCGGTGGTGTCCTCGAGTCCGAGGTTCACAAACGCCAGGCACCTATTTGGACATATATGAAGAGCAAAGGGCTGTACGCAGGTGTCGCGATCGATGGCACGGTTATCATTGAGCGAACTGACGAGAACGAACGCTTCTACGGCGAGCGTATATCTGTCGACGAGATTCTCTCCGGCAAAGTCCGGCATCCACCTCGCGAGCTCGATACCCTCATGCAAACTTTGAAGGCTGCGCAAGGCGACACTGATGTTGACGAGAGTCTCGTCCCGCCACCTGGCGAAACACCTGGGGATATGGAGCTGACGGAAGACGGTCAACACGCCTTCGGCGTGCCGGCTGTGGACGACCCTGATCCGTATGGAGTGAAGGCGCTGGAGGCGGAGGGGCTTTTCATCCGCGAGGCCGGCACAAAAGTAAGACCAAGCCATGAGACTTTTGAGTTTCGCCCCAACCTGGACAGTCCCGTTTATAGCACTTTCTCGCGGCGTAGCATGGATAGCTCGCCGCGCAATAGCTGGCGCGCGAGTTTGCAGAGCTCCAAGAGCTATGCTAGTGTCGACCGTGGCACGCAGACTGATGACGCCCCGCTAACTGAGCCCACGTCAGTAAGCCGTGCAACTTCTCCCAGCGTGAAGGGATCGCCCATCAGCCGTCCATCGAAGAGTATCTGGAACGAAGATGAGGACTCCGCTCAGTGGGATACGATTGCTATCCACAGCAATGAAGAGCACGTGAAGGTACGACAATTGGAGGGCCAGGAGGCGGAGGATAGAAGAGCGAAAGCGAACGCCTGCGAAGATTTGCACGATGATCCCGAGCTTGAGGATGACGACGAGCACTTTGAGGTCCACGAGGTTAGCAACGCCAAGGTCACACCAAGGGAGAATATCCCGGCCTCGCCCACGAAGGTGGAGGACCAGACGGCAAACGGTGACACCAAGCCTGCGTCGCCGACCTTCACCCGGGCTCGTCTGGTCACCATCCCGGCCCGCACCCCACCTACCTTGCCTCCGCGGCACCCACGCCACGTCTGGGGTTCTGGGTCAAGCCGTGCTTCAACATCGCCTACGGCTCTCTCGCGTTCAAGCCGTAATACCTCACGTACAGACGTCACCGAGTCGGCAGAGAATCTCGAACATGTGGATGAAACCCCCCACGTGCTTCCATCTCCGCAGAAGGCCAAGAGCTCTGCTAATATTCCTGCCACGAGCGATGATGAGGAGTTTGTTGATACGAAATCGGAGCCTCCGGCCGAGAAGGACGAGTTCCACTCTGTCAATGGCGAGTCGGAAATCGAGGATCACATCATTACCCTCGAAGATCACACTGCTACCGAGGCTGCCGAGCAGGAGAACAAGACAGGCAAAGAGGACAAGAAGGAAGACGAGAAGAAATTTGAACCCGAACAATCTCCTCAACTCGTAAAGTCTCCCAATATCCCCAAGCTTGCACCCAATATCGAGGATACCCCGGAGGTCGAAGAGACCCTCGACAAGATCGAAGCCAAGCTTCAAGCTGAGATTGACGAACCCGAAGGACAGAAGTCTGAAAGGTCATATTCACACATCGTTGCCGACCGCGAAGAACACGAAGAGTCCCCTGGTGGGACTAAACCCGATACCACTTTGCCCCATGCCAGGGCTGAGTGATCGGGTTTTGGTCAACTGTTTTTCTGCTTCCTCTTTGCGCTTGCTTCAGCTTTCTCATTTCCATATTTTTCTCGACACACACCTTGTCATGATACCTCATATGCGTTCTATACACATCTGACTCGTTTCGGATTTCTTGGAGGCTGCACCTTTCTACACCTATCCCATCCCCACCTCTCACCTCCAAAAAAAGGGTTATATGTTGGTTTCCTGCCATTGATTTTTAGCGTGTCTGCATTTTAGCGAGTGGGAGGTATTTCTTTTGCTCTTTTTGTTCCTGGGTCAGGTCGGAAGTCTTCGGGTTCCTTGCTCTTTATTTGGAGAGCTTTCGCTCGAGTTGCATTATATCCTGTTTCCCGGACTTGGAATACACTCCTTTGGACATTGGTCTTCTGCTTTTATCTCCGGCTTTAGTCAATTTTATTCTTCTACACCAATAATTTGCTGGTATGCTGTTTCTATTGTAGCTTTCCTGTCATAGATCTGAAAAATAGCCATAACTAAATCAGACGTCTCATCCCAAGTATCTATAACTTTCTGGGAATTTACTATTCTTTTCTTCCAAGGAAAAATAAATGTCCTTCTACATATAGCTTTTGGGACGTCCCAATGGTTCTTCGTGTGTTTCTATTGACGACTCGCCTCCTTATTCATTTATCTCATCACAGACAATTCAATTTAGAAGAATATAACACCTTCCTCTTGGGAACAGCATGAATAGACCACATAAGCCACTTTTTTATAGCTGCGTCACATTAATGATGCTGCTTTTGATTAAAGATGCTTGAATTCTGCTTGCCTTCCTCAACATAGTGGTGCTACACAATATCTCATTTTCGCCGGAAGTCGTCTCTTATTTTTCCTTCTTATCATCTCAATCTAACAGAAGGCATTTAAGTGTTTTAAAAATCTCTTCCACTTCTAGGAGACTTTACTAACCTACATCTGAGGTGAAGAGTCAGCCAAAGAAGTTGCATGTTGACATTTGTTTGCTCACGAGGGAAGGGCTTCAGTCCTTGGGTTGTCTACGTTTCTTTTCTCCCATTGTCCATCGTCCATCTATCATCGTCCATCTCATCGTTCACCTTCCTTATCCATCTCAAATATCTCAACTCAGTGCTTGTTCCTCCGAATACAGAACCTTTTCAACACTTTCACACGATATCACGTGTGACAGAACCTTCAGCGTCCCCTCGCCTCAGCCTTGTCGAACACGGTATTCCAAATGAATATTCCAGATCTCTTGGGCCCCTTTCAGCATCTAACCAGAATGGCTCAAAGCTCTGTAAGAAGCCTGAAAGATGACCCCAAGAGGTAAGTTCATGGCTGAAAACTTGTGTTTACTGCTACTAATTTGGCTCAGAATTCAAGGACCAACAGTCAAAATCCTGGTCGGGATGTCAAAGAAACCTTCTCATGTGCATGAATCGATCCTCTGCAGCTCTTCTCCGTTTTTCAAAAAGGCCATGTCGGGACCGTGGAAGGAATCTGCGGAGCACACCATTGAACTCCCGGAAGATGACCCCGATATGTTTGATATGTATTCACACTGGCTTTACTATGCCACGATTCCCGTGATTGTTGAGGGCACGGCAAGTGACGAATCAACGAAAGTCTTATCCCAGGAGTACTATGATCTTGCCAAGGCGTATGTGCTCGGCGACAAGTTGCTCGACGTGAAGTTTCAAAATTGCGTTATTGATGCAATTGTCGAAAGACACGCCACGCCTGACAAAAGAAATGGAAGGTGTTACATTCCCAACAAAAAGACAATTAACTACGCGTTCGATAATACGACCGAGTCCGCTCCAATTCGCAAGCTGCTTGTGGATATGTATATGGGCAATGTGACAGCCGAGTGGCTCTCCAAAGACCTTCCACCGGACTTTATCTTTTCGGTTCTTAAATCTGTCGTCGAGAAAACACCCGTCTTATCTGTGTTGATCAACGCATCCGACTACTACATGGATCCGGCAATGGAGAAGCAAAGTTTGAAGCGAAAGCTCTCTGAGATAGAGCTTTAGGTGGCGCTCGAGGTTATATTCCAGTGTCTTCATCGTTATTCCAGTGCGATGATGTCTTTTTCAACTTCACTCATTTTCCAACTTTGTTATGAATGAGCTCTATCTTCGCGGGGTAGTAGCCAATGAACAACGATTTTGTTTTTCTTTCCATTCCTCGGAAATCCGTAGCTAATCTAGCCTATTGCTCTGGCTCATTCGTGCAGAAGTATCTGCTTTCTGGGTCACACAGTTCTATTGGACCTATAGAGCTACATATGGACAGTTGAGCGTGTGACTGAACTTCGAACAACTTTTTCTTAAGAAATGAGTTCATCCTGTTGTATTCTTTTACTATATTGGTTCCTTGCTAGCCTATAAGGCAAACGCTACCTTCCTATGTCTCAATCCTTCTCAATTCTGATATGGGCTTGGCTTCAGATACCAGAGAGAATCTGTCCTCAGAAAACACCGAAAAGAAGGCCTAGCAAGTAGAGAACTGAGATTGTTTTTCGATTAATATGTGCATCTCCGAGTCCTCGATTTAGTCAAACTGCAAATTATCACAATTAGTAGTGGTACCTTGAGCTAGTCTCGACATCCAAAATTAACACAAAAGATAACGCGGCATAGGGACATGAGCTATGACAATCTAGGCGTCTAGTCCGATATTGCAGCGGTCAAGAATCCAATGTGGGTTAGGGCCATGTATAGCAGCCATTGATGTAGGTATGCTGGCCTCCTTGCTCTTGGCACTGCCAAGTACCCCTTCTACTAGCCCGACGCTTTTCCCGTGTGTCCTAATTCTTCTGACATTTCATTTTCATGGGCCATTCTTTTGCAAATCTTTATTTTGATTTATTTGGGTATTCTCTGAGCGACCTTGGAATATGGCTGGTCTATTAATACTGGGAATAGGTGGCTTGGTAATATATATTGCCGTCAAAAGCATCTATCGGCTGTACTTCCACCCTCTCAGCAAAATTCCGGGGCCAAAACTTGCAGCTATCACAAGCGGCTATGAATTTTACTTCAATGTGATCAAGGGAGGAATGTTCATCTGGGAGATAGAGCGACTACATGAGATATACGGTGAATTATACCAGGAAACATGGAGTACCATCAGTCTAATTTTTCTTGAGGTCCCATTATACGCATTACCCCTCTTGAGGTGCATATTAAGGACTCCAGCTATTACGATGAGATATATGCCTCCAGCAAGCGCAAACGCGAAAAGTCCGCTGCCTTGATCGCTCGATTCGATCTTGGAGATACTGGATTTGCTAGTGTCTCCCAAGAAGACCACCGGAAGCGGCGTTCACACATTGAGAGACACTTTTCAAAGCAGGCTGTCTCCAACATAGAGTATTTGATATATGAAAATATTGACAAACTCGACAATCATTTCAAGCGCGCCTTTGAATTCCATAGGGTCATTAATCTTGATGCTGGCTTTGCTGGGCTGACTTCCGATGTCATTCACAAATATGCCTTTGATTTCAACAGTAGAAATCTTGACCACGATGACTTCAACGCGAGTGTGAGGGACGGACTCAACGCACTGTTCAAATTCAACCACATCATATACTTTTTCCCGGTCTTTCAAACTATCATGAAATTGCTTCCGTTGTGGTTGCTCGAAAAGCTTGACCCATTCGCGTATGCACTAGTGAGCCAGAAGTTGGACCTTCTGCGTCGGACAGAGGAATTCCTGCAAAGTGAGCCGTCAAACTCGAAAACACCTCCCATCATGGAAGTTATGTGTGGCCCCAGTATGCCGGAGGATATGCGCGGCGCTGTTCGTCTCAGCAATGAGGGATTTTCTCTGATCATCGGTGGCACCGAGACAACTGCCCGATCGCTATCTATTGCAGCATTTCACCTCTTGGAAAATTATTCGATCAAAGCCAAGTTGCGAGAGGAACTGCGGACGGTGATGCCCACTCCTGAGTCTCGACCAACATGGAGGCAGCTTGAACAGTTGCCATATTTGGTAAGTCCTCTTTTCCATGATGCGTCTTTCTACGGTCTTATTATAGACTTGTAACTGACTGTTTTCACTTTATAGTCTGCATTTGTATGGGAGACATTACGTGTGTCTACTGGAATTGCAAGTCGATCGGCTCGTGTCGCACCTGATGAAGCATTAATCTACAAGGACCACACCATTCCTGCTGGAGTATGTGAAGCCATTTTTACTAGCGCCTATCTTAGAATGTATATTGACATCAACATTTAGACTCCAGTCAGTGAGACCAACTATTTCGTTCTCACTGATCCCGAAATCTTCCCCGATCCGCATACCTTCGACCCAGACCGATGGCTACGTGCCGCTGCGAAAGGGGAGCATCTGGATAGATATATGGTCAATTTTTCCAAGGGCAGTGGATATGTTTGGGCATGAAGTATGTTATTCAAAAGCCTCTCCTCCCTTCCCAATCTCTAATTGACGTGATATTGTAGCCTGGCCTACGCGGAACTGTTTCTTGTACTAGCGGCTTTTATTCGTCGTTTTGACATGGAACTAGTTGAGACAAGCGAGAAGGATATTGCGTTTGCGCGTGATTTTGGAACCCCATACCCCGATGAGGGAAGTGCCCGTGTGCGAGTCATGGTCACTAAGGTGATCGAGGAGTAAGCCTGTTTCACTGGAATTCATCAATTTCAATTTGCAAGAAATATGCCAAATGAGGATACCAACTCTTGTTCAAGCCTGAGAATACGAACAATATTAAGAATGAGTGAGAATATTGCCATGAGAAGAATGCCCAAGTGTACCGAAATAGGAAGGAAGTCAACCCGTTATCTCCGTGCTAAGTCCGAAAACTTGTGTAACTTTACTTTAGAAGCCCAGACCTGGAGGATACCCTTCTCCTGCAAAAACATCCTCCGAAATTCCATCCTTTCATCGCATCCTTATAGATATCCAAGATGCCTTCGGATAACCACATCAAAGCGGCCTTTTCTCTCATCGAGGACAAGGCAAAGGTCCTTGGCTTGAACATTGGCATCCATGAGAACGTGCAGCCAGGAACATGGCTTCCTCGCAAGGGTACGGACCAGACCATTTCATCTCCTCCCCTTCCATCCTCCCCAACTAGTGTGACAGGCAGTTGAACTATTGACTGACAAAAACCATAGAAGCTCAAGAGCTCCCGGAGCTTTCCTTTGCCGGTGCTAACCCCACCAGCACCTACCTGGTCGTGAGCCTGGATATTGACGCACCTTTCCCTTCTTTTGGGATCCTGGGTCCCATACTTCACTGGATCCAGTCCGATATCAAGGTCACCAGCGAGGCTGTACTCAAGTTCGATGCGCCCTTCGTTGCCAATTACATCGGCCCTGCTCCCCCTCCTATAAGCGCGCCCCATAGGTACCTCTTTCTCCTGTACGAGCAGCCTGAAGGGTTTGACCTCAAGGCCTATGCACCTGCTGGTGGCAAGAATGTTAGTAATTCGAATCGCATGCGGTATGATCTTGATGCTTGGGCAGAGCAGATCAAGCTTGGTCTTCCTGTGGCTTTCAACTATTTCACCTGCAATTAGCCGGTTCCTTGTCAACATTGATCGGATTCGTGGTTTGATGAAGTTCGAAGGGTACGATATGGCGTTTCTGGTGGTGGTTTTTATTTTCAAATCCAGAAAAACAGCCTGGTCTCACTAATTGCTATCCAATGGATGTTGCTTTGCTTTGGTTAAAAATTGATCAACAGATTGCAAGCTCAACATAAACTGCTTTCCCGTAAGTATCAAAAGATATATTCTATAGCTTCTGGTATTTGACTGTAACAGATGCAGAGAAGTGTTCTCGATGAGCCACTTGACCTAGAGATTTGCTAGATGTTCTGGAGTAGATTCTTTACACCTCACCCTCAGGCGTCAAAGGAGAAGTACGGGGGCTTGAAAGAGGTATCTGATGTCTTTGTTGGTTGTTTGTTTGACAATATCATTATCATAGTGCGTCTATAGTTTAAAAAGGTAACTAGCTTCTTCTATAACGATGTTCTGGATTTAATTCTATGCGTACTTTCCTTCATCTTTGGTTCTCTTTTGAATGCCTTCATAGAGCTAGAAGTAGTGCCAATCTTTTTCATCGGCCAAGATGGCTTCCAACGAACCGATAGACAAGCCGATAGACAAGCTAACCGGCGACATGAAGGGGTTGGTCATCGGTGCCAGTGGTACAATCCCTGGATATCAACATGGTATGTTTTTCCTCATGGCAAAGCAAAGTCAACGAGAAAAACGAGAGGTAATTTCTAGATATCCTTTGATGACTGACACCCCGTTATCTAGGACAAATCAAGCGGCTGGTCGAAAGATGTGGTGCGAGGTTTGCCACAATGAATATGAGTGAATGTACTCATCTGGTGACAACAGAAAATTATCTCAAGAGAAAGTCGAAAAAGAGTTAGTATCATCAAGTTACGCATCCACTGATAGAAGCGTCAGCTAACATTATGGTTTTCAGTCAATCAGGCTCAGGAACTACATGATTGCAAAATTGTGGACATGGATTGGCTGCTCAAGAAGATTACAAAGCATCTTCCGGAGAGTGTTCAGAAGGAAATCATGAAGGAGAAAGACAAAGACATCAAGGCCAAAGGCAAAAAGCGTGAGCGAGAATCTTCACTTGTGGACGACGAAGGCAGCCCTTTGAAGAAAACGAAGGATGAAGAACAGATCAAGGTCAAGTTTCTGATCGAACTAGTTGACGAGAAATACCCAGATCTGAGTGAGTGATATGGTATAATGTTATCGCTTAGATGTCTAACACTTTGTCAATATTAGACACTACGCTTTCCGTTTGGCAGGATGACGCAGGACTGATATGGGATGCCACGTTGGTCAGAGCTGGTGTGAAAAAACAAGTCGAAATTTTGCGTCTCCAACTTCTCGTTCATCGCGAGTCGCAAAAGTTCCACACATGGGACTTGCAGTGCCAATTTGGATCATCAAAATCATCAAAATCGGTTGGAGATGTGGGAACCCTCGAGTCGGCCAAGGATACGTTTGAGGAGAAGTTCAAGATGTTCAGTGGTTTAGCTTGGGAAGACCGACATGGTACTCCCACTTCCAAAGGCTGGATTTTCCTTGAACTGCATCATAGGGAGGTTCCCATCTTCTCCAGCGAGGTCAGCTCGTTGCCTGCAAGCGTTGAAAACGTTTTGAAAATCATCTTCGCAACAGGAAACTTGAAGAAATACCTTAATGTGCTAAACAGTCACGGACGGAGTGTTTCGCTCAAAAAGAAAGTGGACAAGAAGAAACTCCTGGTTGGGATTGCAGTTTTGGGAAAGCTGATGGAGCTCACAAATCATGAGCTGGCGCCTGGCAAACACTCCCAAGTAAAGGAGAGATTGTGCAAGATCTACGGAAGCTTGATTTTCATAAATCGGACTCTTTCTGACGCCAGTGACACCGTCAGACAGGAACTGGAATCCCTCGAGCTCTTACTCAAGTTGCGCGATGCTAGCGAGATTCTGGAAAGAAATTCTCAGTCTGCCTCATTAGCCATGAGCCAAATATCCCATGTACTTGGTCTGGCAAAAATGCTCCCAGGTATATCTCATTTTGTGCCTTCCTGTTCTAATTTATTGCATGCTTTTCAAAATACCAAAGCATGAAGCTGACCTTGTCAACAGTGAGCGGAGATTCGACAGAGTTCAAGGTGCTCCAGGAGTATCTTGAAAAGACTTCAGCTCCAACCCACTCTTTTCAATTCCAGGCAAGCTTCACTCAAATCACATTGGCAAAAGTCCAGACTAACGCTCGCACCTTCCTAGGAGATCCTCGGCGTGTTCCGTCTCGAACGTCCCGGGGAAGCAGAGCGTTTCGCCCAGTGGGAAAAGGCAAACCTTGCTAATATCGGTGACCGGCGACTTCTGTGGCATGGCTCGGCGTCTAGCAATTTTGCAGGGATCTTGACTCAAGGGCTGCGTAACGATGGCATTGCCAGTCTCGATGGGAAGGCCTTCATTCCTGGGGTATTCTTTGCCGACATATCCACAAAGTCGGCAGGATATTGCCGCCTGAAAGGGGAAGCCTTGATGTTGCTATGTGAAGTCGAGCTGGGCACATCCTCGTCCCTTTCCCATCATGTTCTTGGCCGCACTATTCATAAAAAATGGTGTGATGCTGGATATATTCACCCAGATTTCAAGGGGTCTATGGTGCCAGATCTTCACGCCGGAACAATGACTGTAAACGGCACGCCGAATCTTTACCACTCTGAGTATGTCGCAAAAAGCCCAGCACAGATTCGCCAACGGTATCTGTTCCATGTCAAGCTTGTTTGAAATGTGAAGGACTTTGAGGCAAAGATATTTGGGGTTTCATTTGGGTACTACAGAATGTTGAACTTTTCCTATCCGAAGGTGTCTGTATTTATGCTCGTGCAATACAATGTTAAAAGTTCTCCGTTTGCATAATCCTCCATCACAGATATCGGGTAGTAAATGAATGATTCATGTTCAAATTTGCATGGGTGAGACATAGCTAGGGCATTGAATATCAGGTGGTATTGTCTTGGCACTCCCAAGGTTCCCAAGGTTCCCGAATCCCGAGGTCCCCTCACCCCCCGCTTACACTTGCTATCTACGATTCATAGATGCACATTTTCTTGTAGCTCTTCTCTCCAGTTCTTCTTTTGCTGTCCTCAATTGGCTCGGGTTATGATTAATCTGTGGACCGCTGCGCTGGCAGCAACTGCCGCGGCCCAGTACTTTCCGCCCATACCAGATGGGTTGAAGGTAGTTGAATCGCAACATCAAAAGGGAGTGAAGATTTCCTACAAACAGGTGCGATTCTTTTCAAAATTTCTATCCCATCTTTAAAGATGATATGGTCGTCGATATCACATAATCTTGTACTGATAAATTGCATAGCCTGGGATCTGTGAAACAACCCCAGGGGTGAGATCATATTCGGGTTACGTTCATCTACCCCCAGGCTCTCTGGACGATGTAAATGTTGATCAAGACTATCCGATCAATACTTTTTTCTGGTTTTTCGAGTCTCGTCATAACCCAAAAAATGCACCACTGTCCATATGGATGAACGGAGGTCCAGGAAGTTCCTCTATGATTGGCCTCATGCAGGAAAATGGACCCTGTATTGTCAACGAGGATTCCAATTCCACAGAGCTCAATCCTTGGTCCTGGAATAACTATGTCAATATGCTCTACATTGATCAGCCAAATCAGGTCGGCTTCAGTTATGATGTCCCGACTAACGGTACCTTTGATCAAGTCCAAGGTGCCTGGAACTTGTCGGAGTGGGCCGGTGTGCCCAAGCAGAATAACACTTTCTATGTTGGCACGACAGCCAGCCAAGATAAGTCGACGGTAGCCAATAGTACTGCAAACTCCGCGCGGTCACTGTGGCACTTTGCTCAGACCTGGTTCACCGAGTTTCCACATTATAAGCCCCATGATGACCGGGTCAGCATCTGGACTGAGTCATACGGCGGTCGCTACGGCCCATCTTTCACTGCCTTCTTCCAGGAGCAAAACGAAAAGATAAAAAATGGCAGCATCGATACCCCGGGGGCATCACACTACATTCACCTAGATACACTAGGCATCATTAACGGCTGCATCGATCTCCTGGTGCAGGAACCAACCTATCCAGTAATGGCATACAACAATACCTACGACATCCAGGCCATCAACAAGACCGTATATGATAATGCCATGGAGGCATGGAGTCGCCCTGGGGGATGCAAAGACCTGATCACGCACTGTCGCGCGCTGGCCGCAGAGGGCGATCCGCAAATGTATGGCAACAATGCAACCGTCAACAAAGCGTGCCATAACGCCGACAATTTCTGCAGCAACAACGTCGAAGGTGCATACGTAGAATACGCGGGCCGCGGCTACTACGACATCACTCACAAGAACCCAGACCCTTTCCCACCGTCCTACTACTTGGGTTGGCTGAACCAGCACTGGGTGCAAGGTGCACTGGGCGTCCCAATTAACTTCACTGAGTCAAGCAACGGTGCCTACGGCGCTTTCAAATCTGTTGGGGACTATCCACGTTCTGACGTTCACGGCTACCTCGAAGACCTGGCATACGTGCTCGACTCGGGTATCAAGGTCGCTCTCGTTTACGGTGACAGTGACTACGCTTGCAACTGGATTGGAGGCGAAGATGCCAGCTTGCTGGTCAACCATGCTGGTGCTTCTGCTTTCCGGTCTGCTGGGTACACACCTCTACGCACGAATTCCACGTATATTGGCGGCCAGGTCCGGCAGCATGGCAACTTTTCTTTCACGCGTGTCTACGATGCCGGTCATGAAGTCCCGGCCTACCAGCCACAGACTGCATACGAGATCTTCTACCGGTCGCTCTTCAACCGCGATCTGGCCACGGGCAAGATCAATACCGCACGTAATGGCTCATATACCACAGAGGGGCCTGCGTCTACTTGGCTTATCAAGAACAAGGTCCCGGAGAGTCCGGGTCCGGTCTGCTATATCCTTGCTTTGGACTCGACATGCACTCAAGACCAGATTGCAAGTGTGGTCAATGGCTCAGCTGTTATTCGTGATTACATTGTTGTGAATGAAAAGTAGAAGTTAGAATTCATGCAAGCTTGATGCCCATTATTTCTCCTTGTGTGTCTTACTGGCACATTCATAAAATGACTTATTTAAACACGTGTTCTTCTCTAAGTAAGCTCTTGTGTGACCATGTCCTCGCATCTTCGGTTACCAATACGCTGTTTGCCTGCAGCCAAGGCACATATCTCGAATTATACCTGGTCGGATAGCTCAGTAAAGGCTCGGGCAATCCAAGGAGGTCATGTATGGCACACAAGTGGGTGTCTCGCATGTTGAACACCATAGGAGGAGTCGGGGGTTTCACGAGCGGTGATAGCCCTGTATTGCATCGCATGGACCTTCGGGAGGTTCGCGTCGTGTGGGTACGGCCCGAGCCGTTGTGGAACCCGATTCGATGGATTCCCGGTGGCGGCCCCTGAAAACCGGGTCCCTGGTTTTCCGCCAAGTACTTAGTGTCTTGGTAACGTCTCATCGTGGGTTAGCATGAGTCTTGGACATGATCCTTTGTGTCTGGATACTTGTCATATTAACTTAACAGGGTGTGCGCCATGAGATAATGTGCCCAAATCCGAACAAGACTCTTTGGGGGAATGCGTGCATGTCCCCAGGAGTACTCATTTCAGAGTCCAGTCGAAGTAATGAGTAGTTGCGCATGTGCCTCTTGCTGTTTGCCACATATTGCAGATATAAGATAGCAGACAACTCCGAGTGGACAATCCGTTCAAACAATATGGGACTCCTTCATGAATAGGCTCACGTCTGTGAGATTACGGCGAGGATACTGGAGAGGGTAAAGACTGCCCGATTGAGTGGACATAATGTACCAGTACTAGTCTACTTGCTCATGAGATGAGAGGATCAATTGGTTCTAGTCATATAGAAAAACTTATCCGCCAGGTAGAACATTGGAACTTGGAGATATACAGTCGACTGTCCAAATCAACCAAATTGCATAATCTGTCTCTGATACCATAAGTCTCTCAAAACGGAAGGCACCCAGTCACCTGGTCCCCTGAGGGTGCCTTCCTATTTAGGATAACTCGTCACCTACCCCAGTTCCCCCCGTTACCTGCAGCCATTGGAAAAATATAAATACCTGCCCCTTCCCACTTTTTCTCTTCTTCTTTCTTTCTTTCTTTCTTTCTTTCTTTCCTCAGTCCCCACTCGGATCTTTGACGCGGTCTTTGAGAGGCTGAAACTAGGTTGGGGCTTCGGCCCTGGCCTAATGGCACGAAGTATGTTGGGACTAGCCCTCTCAACCTCTGCGGATACAGACTGTACTCTCTTGGGTTCTCCATTGACCATTGGGGGCTCACCCTCCCTCCCCCGCATCAAGACACCATAGAACCTTCATTTTGCCCCAACCCAGTTGCACGGGGCCTGTGTGCAACACCTGAGCAGGACTTGCACCTTTACGTGGTGCTCGGGATAAGTAGCCTTCATGGTGAAACCAAGCAAGTCCTTAGCTAGTTTAATAGAATTTGGTATTAATCAAATGTTTTAATGTGTATCCTTTTGTAGACGTCTCTTGTAACATGTGAGCTAGTCATTTGACTTGCACTGCGTAAACAATCTTAGCCTGGGATGGCGACACGATGTTCGACGCTACCTACGCTTCCATAATTGCACTCCAACCTCTGTGTTCAATCAAGCCTAGCTACAGTACTTTCCAAACATAGACACATATGTGCTCTTAGTTTTCATCTCAAGCTCATGTCCCTGCATTTGTCTTGTCAACTGCCCATTGCTACGACACACTGACATACATCTCCACCAACACCGAGCTCCTCTTACATTACAGTTAGTATGCAAAGGCATCGACCAGTCCCCTATCAACCAGACTCGGACTTCTAAAATGTGGCACTTCGACAAGCACCTCTATATGAAAACTGCTAACATTGGGTATCATAGACAACAAATCACCCTACTCCTAACAGATTTCAACGACAACAATGGCATTTCCACACCGGTTCCGCTGGCTCGCAAAGCCATCGCCATTTACTACTCTTCGGCAGCCCCGACTGAGTCCAGCCAAGACAGGCCGGTTGGTGACATACGATATCACCTCCGAGATGCAGTGCCCGCTGTTCGACCGGCTACGGTGGTGCTTTGAACTGGACTTTATGTGTGGATACCAATCTACATGGGACATCCAGGAGCAGACCAAGGATGGAGAACAGTCCTCCCAGGTTAACGAGGATACAAGACGCTAGGTGCATGGGTTTGTGTGGCACTGAGTCAATACCACATCCGTTGCTTGGTTACTGGCACTCGCTAACTTGGGTTCCTACCACAGTCAAGCCCTGTTCACACTGCGAGACCCAATCCTCTCCCTAGCCCTTTGAGAAATCAATCAACGAGCCCAACCTCGACCATTGCCATTGTTCAAGGAAAACGAGACGAAACACCACGACTGTGCAACTTCTACCACCCGAGGCCAGCCATGACTTATGCAAAGCACTCTGATGTACAGAGAAGGTCGCTCACGTTCTAGAACCTACATTTCCGGACCATGCGCTCCCTCTCGGCTGCAGGATACCATTACGGGAGTATGGCATATTTGCCAATTACTTGTTGGGAACTGGCGTGATGGACTTTTGCATTCGGCCCTCTAGCGATGTACTCTACAAGTCCCTGATGTCGATGGCAATTGTATCTCGTTTTCACATATTCACAATCAAATGTTACTTCACTATCACTTTGAATCATACTTGTGTATACTGAAGTTCAATCAAATGTCGACGACCTACCTCGGTAGTACGGAAGTTGCTTAAACTCGTGCTTTTTGCGTAGACCCTTTCACATTTAGCGTTTTGTACATCTGTTTACTACATAGAGAGTCTCAGTTAGAGAGTATTGGTGAATCAAGTTATTCTCCTACGGACTACATTCCAGGTTTTCTATCCGAACATTAGTGAAGTTGAATCATAATTGTGGCTCTAAATATACTACTAAAATTCCATGCTTTAAAGATCGTCAGCAAGAAACTAGTAAGATGAGTACTCCGAGATCAAGAATTAAAAGTAAAAAAGACGAGGAAAAGGTCAACGCTAGTGTATAAACCATTCAGTATCACATAAACAAATCATTCTCTCTTATCATGTGCAGCCTCAGCCCGTTTATTTCCAAGTCCAGACGACCAAGCAACACGAATAAGCCGCCAAAGCACCCACATGAATCCAAGTGAGATAGCCACACAGGTGCCAAACTCGATATATTTACTCTGGAAGTAGCCATCCCCGCCCTCAATTCGTAGAACCGGCACATCGATCTCCTCAAGAAGACGATCACCCGCAGGCTGAAGCTGGTAGAACATGGTTCGCGGACCGAACAAGCCGTCCCAGCCGAGATTTTTGCGGTCGAAGGGGTTCACACCCATCTTCGTGCCATCCTCGGTGGTACAGGCCCAGAAGACGACGGGCCAGGGAATGTGGGCAGTGCGGTGTCCTGTCTCGGACGGTGACAGGTAGCGTAGGTGTAGAGGTATAGTGGCGGTCCAATTTGAGGGGTCTGGTACTCTAGCCGCGTCTTCGGCTTCTGGTGGGGTTGCTAGTTCGATAAGCCAGTTTGAGCCCCAGCGCTGGACAACCCAGTCTGGGGCTTCGAGGTCCATTTCACCTGCTAAGGCACGCAGGGCTACGAGATTGTGTGACTCGAGGAAGAGGGGATCTGTTGTTGCGAGCTGGTATTGATCTCCGAAGATGGTAGAGGGGAGGGTGAGGTATGTGTGTAGAGCGCAGGTTGCGTCGCTAGGTGCTTGGGGTCGTTTGAGGGATGATCGTGGCATGGATATGGACATTGTTGGATGTAGACCAGTTGGGGAAGCGAAGGAGACGGTGTAACTCGATGGCTCGGTGAGAGGTTGATGGCGGGAGGGGAATGAGAACATGGTTGGTTCTGTATAAGGGTTAGTCCAGCCATTCCGTATGATCAGAGTTAGACAAAAGGCAAGCGATGTAAGAAACGCCGGGGCCACATACTTAGCTTCTCGTCCTGTCCGACAACAGCTAACAGCCCGCCCATCTTGATCTCCTCTGGCTCAAGCCCTGCCTCGGCGCCCAAGAGACCGAACTCGATTTGATCGGCATCGGATGCTGGCTTCTGAAATTGATCCGTCCAACCGCCCGTCGGTGGACTGGTCCAGAGCCCGGACAAAGTTAAGGCGTGCGAAATGCTGTCATAGTCGATGTCGACCGAGTCTGCAGAGAGGAGAGCATTGGCCCGGGTGTGACACTCGGGGCCATCTGCACGACTCTGGTCACAGACAGTATTCTGAATATATTGGACCAGAGACTGGATGGAAGGGAGGTGGGTGTAATATTGTAGGGAGGCCGAGGAAGCGAATCGTGTCGAGATAAGCGGGGTTGTAATGAACGAATCCTGTATAGCAGATTTGGGTCAGATCGAACACATGCAAAACATGGCCAGGGAATGTTCCGGGGGAAAGTGAACAATCGTAAAATACCTCCGGCTTCGAACAATCCTTAAATTGAGCGTCTTTGTTGGGTGCGACTACCGTGCGGAGCAGCGTGCACAGTGCCTCCCTATCGATAACCAAATCAGTCAATCGCATTCCCCCAAACTCAAGATGTAAAAATGAGCTCACGAAGATGAATCCGACTTGAGCGGAGTATAATGCACATGCAGACCAGGTGAAACCCGGCTACTGAATGGCGCGACAGCATCGAAAGACCTCTCGGAGGCCCAGCGGAGGTGGAGCTCATGAGATTGCTCGAGGACAGCACGCAACTAAACATGACAAATGATCAGGTTAGCGTTGCTCTATTCTCAACAGGCTTGATCAACAATGCCATCTCACCTCCTCTGGAAGCTCGTCCAGTCCGACCGTAATGCGATCCTCCCGCGCGGCGTCCAGGTTACGGACGGAGAGGGATGACGCGGTTAACACAGCTTGCTGCGGGTCGAATCCGGCATCGACGCGCTGGATAAAGGTGATTCTTCGTTTCATGGTAAAAAAAATCAAGGGATATGGAGTGAAGGAAAGTAAACAGAAATGACGAATTGATTTCTCCAAGGTGTTTCTCCGCATTCGCTCAATTAGGTTAGACTACAACTGATCCATATTACGTTATTTGGTCAATCTCAGATGTATTCCAAAGGTCTATACTACAATATGTAAAGACTAGCTCTAGCTCGAATAAATGAGCTTATTGAAGTACCTCATACAAAGGTTCATGTCATTGTAATTAAATACTCTCCCGTCTCACCCCCAAACGCCAGTATATGCAATTAGATTAAATCATTTCAAGGCAGCACATCCCGGAGAATGTCTTTTTGGGAGGCAGTCAAGCTCGTAGGGAAGGTGACGTTGGCTCGAACAACCAAGTCGCCGCGCTCGCTGGGGTTTTTGGAGCTCACCATGCCTAGCCCGGGGTAGCGCTCTTCACGGCCGGGTTGGGTTGGACCGGGCTTAGACACGCGAATTGACTTTCCATCGATCGTGCGGACAATGCGATCCCAGCCTGTCAGTGCTTCCTTCAGACTGAGATCGACCGTTGTGATAAGATTGTCGCCAGAACGCTTGAAAGTAGGATGGTCGATCTGTAAGTAGTTGTTAGTAAGAATTCATCAAATATCTTTGTCGCTGTAGCCAGGAGCGAGCTCATACCTCTTTTACGATCAGATGGACATCCTGTCGTCCCCCTTCTTCCTGATCCCCAATATTTCGGTACTTGATCTTCGAGCCAGCGCGCAGCCCAGGTTTGATGTTGGCTTCCAAGGTCACCTCCTTGGTAGTGAGCTTACCCATCTTGTCGAAGGCCTTGCTCTTTGTCTTGACCTTCTTAGAGGTACCAGTGTAAATTTCCTCCAAGGTTAGGGGCAGGTCTTTCTCGATGATAGTCGGCTCAGGTGTAGGTGCACGCTTCGGTTTAGCATATCCTGGACGGCTGCTACGGAAGCCGGCGCCGCCGCCGCCGCCGCCCAGTCCTCCTCCAAGCATGGAGATGAGATCTTCGTCGTCCATGTCCATACCACCCATGCCGCCGCCCCCGCCCCCGCCGGCCTTGGCGAAGTTGCGGAAGATGTCATCAGCATTGCTGAAACTGAATCCGCCACCGCCGCCAGGGCCAGTCGAGAAGTGGAACTTTCGGGCTCCGCCGCCAGGCATACCACCGCCAGGCATGCCGCCGAAGTTGAATCCTCCGGGCATGCCGCCGGCTCCGCCTCCGCCTCCCCCTGGTGGTGGCGGTGCGGGGCCGCCGCGCATCAGGTACTCGAGGCCGAACTGGTCGTAGACCTTGCGCTTTTCGGGATCGGATAGGACTTCGTACGCTTGCGATACTTCTGTTAAGAAACTGTTAGTCGTGTGCGGGAATCCAACAATGTGCGGGGTAACGTTACCTTTGAATTTATCAGCGGCATTGGGGTTATCTTTGTTCTTGTCTGGGTGATGCTTCAATGCTGCCTTGTGGTATGCTTTCTTAATCTGATCTTGTGTGGCATCGGGCTTGACGCTCAAGGCGTCGTAGAGCTTGGTTTCGGCAACCATAGTGCGGGGTAAATTTGAATCTTATGGAAAAAAGGAAAAAGCAGTGCAAAAAGCGTCAGCCTCAAATTGGAGGTGCACACTTATGAACGGTTATTTCTGACAGGAAAAATAATCCTGAGAGAGAAGATGCGGTGTACTTCGTGAGTGGTGTAGAAGGTTCGAGGCGGAAAGAGAGAGATTAAGGATTAAAGGAACCTGGAAAAACACAGGTTTAGAGTGAAAAGAGGTAAATGAAGTAACAAAAGGCCCAAATGGAGTGTACTTGAATGTCGAATGTCAGTGATCAAGTCTCCAGGTGTGTGACGTCAGGGATTAAGTCTTGACGTGGGTGACTTCGGAAGTTTCGAGAAGTTTCGATATTTTAACTGCAACCTGACCATCTCTAAGGAAGTCTATACTATTCGGAGACTCATCTTCATTTTGATCTTTTTATTTTATTTTTGCTTGAATATCTACAATTCCACGTCGCTTGGGAGTATAGCAACTCCACATTTGAAGAGACCTATTGCTATCTATTCTCTCCAATTTATCCCGTTTACCTCTCCACCTTCCACGTTGCTTTGGATAAATGGATGAAGATGATGAAGATGAAAAAAGAAGAATGTGAAGATGAGAAGAAAAGGAGAGAGGAAAAGGAGGGGGGTTTATAGTTGTTGATCCGTCCGAATTAGGAAGGAAGGGTCTCGGTACTCCCCGATGGCAAGAGCAACTAGAAATCGTGGGATTTTGCTTAAGATATTGCAAAATTCGATGGGACCTCAAATTCCCATCTCAGGTAAAGGCCATGGGACATCAGTCATCAAAAATTGATCCAAATCAAAATTCTGCAGACTAGGCATATCAATCATCAAATCACCCAGCCACGAGAACTCGGCATCTGTTACCAGCGTGGCTGGTGCAGCTTGCTCTTGCCTTTGACTCTGGTCGGCTAACACGGTCCGTGCGACCTGCCTCTCGGCCTGTTCATCCGCGGGCGCCGCCGCAGCAGCATTGACCCGCAACACCTCGGCAAGAGCACGGGTATCATCCTCCTTTCTCCGCTGATGCAACGCAATAAGTAGGTATGCTGTAGAATACGCCTCACGCATAGAATCTGTATCATATGCAGCGAGAACTTCACGCAGAGTCCGCATCGCATCGGCGAGCAGTGCTAATGCAGCCCGATTGTCGATCGCTAGAAGCGAGCAGACGACCTGAAAGGGGACATTGGCAACTTGGTGCCAGGGGCAGGTAGATGCGACCATTCCTCGTGCAGCACGGAGTCCGCGGCCTGCCAGCGCAAGGACGCGGTCAAGGAGGTTGGAGGATAAGGGGCCGTGTGGATTTAGAGCGCGGAGACGGCGATAAATGCATAGCATTAGGTTGCATTGGACTAAGATTAGGGACGGTTCGGAGTAGAGGAGATCCAGGACGGAGGTAAGGGCTGTTTCGAGTTCTGGAAGATCTTGTGGTGACGGCCCTGTTGGGTCGAGGTTTTCGGAGAGTGGGAGGAGGTGGAAGAGGTCTGCGCGTGGGCCCCGGGGTGGTGCTTGCTGTGATGGTTTGCGCGATGGAGGTGTGCTTGTAGGAGACAGGGCTGTGGCGCCGTGTAGGACAACACGGGAGCGGCCGAGGTCGAAAGAAATCCATGTGTTAAGGTGACGAGCCATGCCAAAGAGCCTTTGCCGGGTTTCGGGATCGCTGGTGCCCTGGGTTTCTATATCGCCATCTTGGCCGTGTGTCTCGGGCGGTGATGCTTGAAGCAGGCCTGCTGCTTCTGGATCTGATGTTTCAAGGTGCAATCCACCAGCTTCAATGAGATGCATCAGTGTACAGCTGGCCATCCATGCAGCATGTGGTGAGGCTGTCATGCGTAGATACGCAGCACGCAACACCCACCCTGTCACTATATCGACCGAGGGTGTTTCCGCTGCGAGTGTACTCTTATCTAGTAGAAGGCGCGCGGTCTCAACGAGTCGAAGCTCTATTGCTATGATCTCGCGCCGCGAAAATAGATATCCGAAGGCAGCCACGCCACATAGTACAGCATCATAGGGGTGTTCCGCAGAATCAATAGGAGATGACGAAGATTCCCAGCGCTTTGCGATTCGAGTAAAGATCGTCTTACGGTCCAGAAATGTATAGCATGAATCGACCTTCTCAAAGTAAATCGCTGCTAGCCGCCGCATCTCTTCCTGTGAGATGATTTTGATGATAGTCGTCGGCGCCGACGCTGTGACAGGCATCGAGGGAAGCGCCGAAGATACTATTGGCGACATCCGTCTCGCGCCGACATTCCAGGCAAACAATTGTAATCTTGGTGCATGCGCCGGGTCAATTTTCAGCCCAAGTTTGCGAACAAACGCGGCGCCAGAATTGGCCTGTAGTGAATGGGCAAGGACCTCTGAGCTGCTCGTACGGCGGGTAGAATTCTGTACCGTAGGGCTGGCTGCGGCACTAGTAGTATTTGGGACTGCATTGGACCAGCCATTTGTAGGTCGTTCGTCAAGCGGTAGACTCCCTGGGTACAGACTATGAGATATGGCGCGTCTCTTGCGCGCACTGTATTGGCATTCTGCACCAGTTTGGGCGCAGGTGCTACATGGCTGCCCACCTGAACATTTTCGTTTGCGCGACTGACACAAAGTGCAGGCTAAACGCGATCGCTTGCGAGGCGTTGACTCGGACATATTTGGAAAACTACGGGGAGCATCGCGGGGAGTTGGATGGGTAATTGGTGCCAAGCAAATTAGACATCTCCCCTTTCCAATTTGAACTACAACCACATCGATATACGAGATACACTTTCTTTTTTCCCCTTTCTTCGCCATTCACGTCTCGGCTTAATCCTTGTATTTGCTTCCATCCGGATATCCCATCATCCCCTCAATTTCCTTCAGATCTGGCATTCCCGCTGGCCCCGGCATATACTGGAGATTATCGCGTAGGGTCGTACCATTCCACCATATCTCGTTCTTGTGCAGCGCATCCATGATCATCGGTGCGTCGATGTACGTGCGGATCTCGACCATCTGGCCACGGTACCAGCGCGTGAACCAGACATTGATGATATCAAACTTGTCGCCTGTGGTGGGTCAGCAATACTGAAGATATGAAGATCTTCTTACTCACCGGAATTCATCACGCCTTTAAACTGAATCTCCTCCACTGACCATTCAGCATTACATCCGCCATATATTCCCTGGGGGTGGATCTCAAACAGGTCTGCATGGTCAAAAAACAACATGCTGACTCGACGCAGGGCATTGACATAGAAGTGCATTAGGTCGTGGTAGCGGCCGGCGATGGGGTGATGCCCAACAACGGTGAAGCTGACATTTTTGTGGATCAACGTGAATAGCTTGCTCATGTCTTTCTCGAGGTGTTTAAATGAGTCCCAAATGTGGTATTGAGACGCATATTTGCAATCTGTGGATGGGTTCTCGAATTTAAACCCTTCTCGATCATGGGGTATTGGGTCGTCTACAACGCCAGTGCCATTGCATTTCCCATCTGGGTCAACAATTCCAGTGCCATCATCACATCCTGACTTCAGAAGTGGACCCTGGGTGCTGTCTTTAGAGCTTGAAAAAATGGAGCGTCCAAAAGTCGCCGAGGGTAGGAGGAATGCTAATAGGGCATAGAATATATATTGAGATAGAATCATTGTTTAATTTTTGTAATGAGAACACAAGAGACTACCTGTCTTGATTATTTTGCCTTGTATTCAAAGAGGTTTTTATACCTGGTGCCACCTTTATTTCAATAAATGTACCGTGGTGTTTCCCTTGGACGCCAACGTTGCTTCCCTTGAGCACTACGCTGTCACTCTGAGCCTAAATGAACCCCGTGTGTGACACAACCAAACCTACCGAGATTTTGTAATCGAACAGCGAGTTTCCCACACAGAAGACCTATCGATAATTGAGTACCTCCTAGTGGCCAATGGCGCCCAACGTACAGAATTGCTGCAATGTGCGATTGGGTGGGGCAATAGTACGGTGTGCAGTCGACCAAATCCAGACCATCAAGCTGCCTCGATGGTCGATATTGTCTATCTTTCAATTCAAAGTTATATAAATTGTGTGATGATCCCATTGAAAATGGTAAACAATTATTTGTGCCTGATAGATATCATTATCCAGGGCCGACCTCGGGAATGGCCCGGGGTGGCGATTGGATGAGTCAGAATCCCTAAACTGATAGCAGAATTTTGACGCGCTCCGATTGGCCGACAACGGCAAAGTCGGTGTGGGCACGTGCCCACGGAGTCGGAGGTGAAAAACCTCTTGTTTCCCCTTCTTCTCCATTTTCCTTTTCTACTCCAAAACCCAAAATTTCTCCATGTTCCGCTAAATAGCGACCCTCCATTTCCCTTTACCATACCCTGACTGCCACCTGCTCAGTCGCGCTTATGTGTTTGGCACCCTCGATCTTCACCTCCCAGGACTATATCTCGGACCACCTCTGGAAAGCCAACATCAACTGAATAGCCAAGGCTTTCTGATTTACAATTCTTACATATAAAAAAATGATCTCCAACCTCTTCAAAGCGATGCCTCCTCGAGCTGCCTTCGCCTCCATGAAGCGGCCTGTTCAGGCTCGCTTCATGGCCACTGTGCGTCAGCGTGCCGCTATGGAGCCTGCCACCTTCACTATCCGTGACGGTCCTATGTTCTCCGGCAAGTCTTTCGGTGCCCGCTCCAACATCTCCGGTGAGGCCGTCTTCACGACCTCCCTGGTCGGATACCCCGAGTCCTTGACCGATCCTTCATACCGTGGCCAGATCCTGGTTTTCACCCAGCCTCTCATCGGCAATTACGGTGTTCCTTCCGCCGAGAAAGATCCCAATGGACTGTTGAAGTACTTCGAGTCCCCCAACCTCCAGGCAGCTGGTGTTGTTGTTGCCGATGTCGCCGAACAATACAGTCACTGGACCGCTGTCCAGAGTCTGGGCGAGTGGTGTGCCCGTGAAGGTGTCCCTGCTATCTCTGGTGTCGATACTCGTGCCATTGTCACCTACTTGCGTGAGCAAGGTTCTTCTCTGGCCCGTATTACCGTCGGCGAAGAGTACGATGCCAACGAGGATGAGGCTTTCACTGACCCTGAGCAAATCCACTTGGTGCGCCAGGTCAGCACCAAGCAGCCTTTCCACGTTGCCGCTGCTGACCCTCACTCTCACGTTGCTGTCATCGACTGTGGTGTTAAGGAGAATATTCTCCGCAGCTTGGTCGGCCGTGGCTCCAGCGTCACTGTCCTTCCCTTCGACTACCCCATCCACAAGGTCGCCCACCACTTTGATGGTGTCTTCATCTCCAACGGTCCCGGTGACCCAACTCACTGCCAGGACACCGTCTACCACCTCAAGCGTCTGATGGAGACCTCCCAGGTTCCCATTTTCGGTATCTGTCTGGGTCACCAGCTCCTGGCTCTGGCCACTGGTGCCAGCACCATCAAGCTGAAGTACGGAAACCGGGCTCACAACATTCCCGCTCTTGACCTCAGCACTGGTCGCTGCCACATCACCAGCCAAAACCACGGTTACGCCGTTGATGCTTCGACCCTGCCCTCGGACTGGAAGCCGTACTTCATCAACCTGAACGATCAGAGCAACGAAGGCATGATCCACAAGTCCCGTCCTATCTTCAGCACCCAGTTCCACCCCGAGGCCAAGGGAGGTCCTCTCGACTCATCCTACCTCTTCGATATCTACCTGGACTCTGTGCTGAAGTACAAGAACAACCAGGCTGGCCTCTTCCCTCAGCGTGACAGCCGTCCCAGCCCTCTGCTGGTCGACCTGCTCGCCAAGGAGCGTGTGGGTGTCCAGCCCACCATTGGCCAGCAGAACGTGATTGCTGCTGCTGCCCTTGCCGCTGCTGCTGCTGCTTAAGTGTGTCTACGTTTGGTATCTGCTGGAGTTTTGGTTTTTTGGAGGTTCAATTGGTTGTTTGGGTGATTATCTTCTTCATGTATTTTGTTCATAGGTTCATGCATGGTATATGGAATCAACAGCATTAAAACCATAATTTCATATTTAAGCTCTTTGTAGTCGTGTCAATATTTTCATCATCGCTCTCGACCCCTAGGTTCTACTTAGCCACTATGGATACCACATCTTCATCAGCAACCATATGCGACAATCCTACCCGCTGCGGAACATGTCTTGCGCTCGCTCCCCAAACCATCGCATACTTGAATGTGTCCTTAATTGTGCGATGAATCTGGTCACAAACATCCTCAATGGTGGAGTCCTTGCGTACGATGAGCGCCTCATCGAATTTAGGGTCTTCTCCCTTTCTATAAATACGACAATGATTAGATATGTCAGTCTCAAAGCCATGGCATACATATATCATACCTTTTTGTGTAAAGTCGCATTAGTCTCAGTTCCTTCCAGATGCGTTCAACGACGTCTTGCACGCCGAGGTCAAGTTCACAACTCATGACGGCCGTGTAAGGCTCGCGGGCAAGGGCATCAAGGAATTCGAGGCCGATGCTGTCAACCTTGTTGTAGACGTAAAGACTGGCAGAAAAGCAGAAAGATTAGCATTTGCTCGTTCGATATGAATTATCATTAGTGTTAATCTTACCAGCGGATGTACTTCCGGTGGTCCTTCATAATAACATCGATAAAGTCATCGATTGTAGCTATAACGGGGTCGCAATCAGTAATTTGGCCTGGTTGTTATATCAAAGCACCACATACCATTCTCATCTCGCACGAGTACTTCGCAGTTAAGAATTTTGTAATCACGGAGCACGTTGTAAACCATCTTTTCGTCCAAGCTCTTTGGGGGAGTCGCAAAAGAGATCTTCATGCCACCGGCCTTCTTGATTTTCAAGTAGATATTACTAGGATTGCATCAGTATCTGAGTCCATACAAAACTTCGGACAAGGTATGACATACGGTGGCTCCTTGTTCAGCCGAATGCCCACGGCATCCAGTTCAGCCTCGAGCAAAGCTCGCTGTTCGGCACGCTTTGTGGCGTCCAAAATCATCAAGATCAAATCACTTGTCTAGAAGTAGAGATCTGATCAGTATTTCTGTACTTTTACCCATAAAGCATGCAGACTAGCTCACCTTGGCAGCCGAAATGACCTGGCGACCACGGCCTTTGCCCTCGGAGGCACCTTCGATAATACCTGGCAAATCCAAGATCTGAATCTCAGCACCACCATACTCCAGCACTCCGGGGATAGCCGTCAGCGTGGTGAAAGAGTAGGCTGCAGCCTCACTTTTGGTCTTGGTGATTTTAGACAAAAATGTGGACTTTCCGACAGAGGGAAAGCCAACAAGAGCCACTCGTGCATCGCCGCTCTTGCTGACATCGAATCCCGCACCGCCGCCAGAGCCAGCACCTCCTACTGGCTCCAAAAGCTGGGCTCTTAGTCGGGCAAGCTTTCTGCAAATGCTGTCAGTTTATGTTTGAAATATAAGTTAGAGGATTAAGACTATACCCTTTCAATAGACCCAAATGGTATTCTAATTTGGAAATTGGAAATTAGATCAAATTTTCGTTCGATCAAAAGAGCATCTTACCTGTGGCCTTGTTCTCTGGGGGGTCATTAGCGGGGTGATATAAGTTGTCTGAGGATAACACTTACTCTGCGTCCGACGCATCTCATCCTCGATCCTGTAAAAGATCAGCAAATTGAAGGATTCAACAATTGAGAGACATACTCCTTAATCTTTTCTGTAATGTTCACCATCGTGTCGGTTTTTGAGGCTTGTCGCCTGCGAAATCACTAAATCTTTTCTCTGATGCTTGTGCCTCTGAGAGGGAAATGCCAAATCCCGCCGACGTGCGCACTTGCCAAGCATTATGTAAGCACCTCAGTCAACGGCTCAAGACGTCGACCTTTTTTGAAGCTCAAGCTTAGCCTTCCAACTCAACCTCTCCAACACAAACGTGACCATGGCAGATACGTCGGTTGCCGAGCCACCAGCTCCCGTTTCTATCACTCCCGAAACCCGAGACCCCAATGCCGAAGAGATGATTGTGGCAACAACCGGCGCGGACGACACTCTGCAAGGAGATCAGCAGCTCCAGTCGGTCAAGAAGACCAAAATTATTCGCAGGAAGAAACGCCCAGCGAGAATACAAGTCGACCCGTCAACCGTCAAAGCTGAGCCCACACAACAGCCCGGACTCGACTATAATATTTGGTACAACAAAAGTGGCGACAACGACGACAAATATGGCCTCAGCCAGCCCGCGCCTAGTCGCTGCAATATTGCGCGTGACTCGGGATACACCCGCGCCGATCGCATTCCGGGTTCATTTTTCTGGTAAGAAAATTGATCCTTCATGGCTTTCGTGGCTATCTTGCGTATCGCAGCAGACATTTACTGATCTTTTTCCATCTAGCATACATTTTGCGCGAGGTGTTTGCGTGAAAGGTCAGGATTGCGAATACCTCCATCGTCTACCCACGATTCATGATATGTTAGTGTGATTCCCTTGCCGTACACGATTCGAAAGTTCTTTCACTTTGTTAGACTTATCGGATAGAAACAATCCAGCTAATCAAGCCATTTATAGGTTCAATCCGAACATGGACTGCTTTGGTTAGTACCATTTCCAACCTTGCTTTTGATGATTGAAAACGGGCGACTGACCCCGGGCTATAGGCAGAGACAAGCACAGCGATTACAAGGAAGTGAGTATCATGTCTTTGTGATTGGGAGATGTTAATTTGGGATGACCATGTTGTTAATGCTGCTTGAAATAGGATATGTCCGGAGTAGGCTCGTTCACGCGCCAAAATAGGACAATCTACGTGGGTCGGATTACAGTTTCGTGAGTAGCTCGAAAAGTTATACTCTATCTTCTTGCTAATCAATATCTAGCGATGACATCGAGGAAGTGTGCTCAAGGCATTTTGCGGAATGGGGTCAAATCGAAAGAACAAGAGTCCTTACCGGCCGGGGCGTGGCCTTTGTGACCTACTCGTCAGAAAGTAACGCGCAGTTTGCGTGAGAACCCCTCCCCAAGTTCTCTGTTTGTACCGAACTAACACATGAGTAAAGTCTAGTCGCGATGCAAAACCAAAGCTTGGACCATGAGGTACGTTCAAGATTTCAACCCGCGAGATGCGATGTATGATACAAAGTATTAACAACAATTAGGAAATTCTTAACGTAAGATGGGCAACAGTCGACCCAAACCCAATGGCACAGAAGCGCGAGGCACGCCGGTTAGAAGAGCAAGCTGCCGAGGCTGTGCGCCGGGCTCTTCCCGCAGCCTTTGTAGCAGAGATCGAAGGCCGAGATCCCGAGGCCAAGAAACGGAAGAAGATCGAGGGAACTTTCGGACTACAGGGCTATGACGTTCCAGATGATGTGTGGCATGCTAGAACCCGTCAATTGGAGGATGCGAGCCAGGCCGCTCAGCTAGAGGCGCCTGAACAACCGATGATGATCGAGTCTGCTCCGGTTCCAGCACAGGAGCAGCAGCCACAGAGTAATGGCATCTTCTCAAGCTCTGCTGTTGCAGCCCTACGTGGTCTTAATGGTGGAATAGTGACGACCCAGGCACCAAAAGCTACTGGCGGGCCGTTAGTCGCTTACGGCAGCGACGATGAGAGTGACTGATTTAGATAAATCCATCATGATTGCGAATTTTTTTCATGTACAACAGCAGCGATACCTCTGTCAAAATGTTTGTTTTTTTTCCCTGCATCTCCATACAAAATATCCGTAAACATTATTTCTGGGCGTCATTCATCACTACATGTATGGTATCATCCCGAGCACTCGCTAAAACACAGCATTGAGAGTGTCAAACAAAACGAGATACATCCACCCATAAAACAAATGCAAACACCATCAGTCCCATTGAGCTGAGACTTATGCTTAACTTAACTCCACTTCGTCACTCTTCCCCCCATGAAAATCAATCAGTCGTAATTCATTCCTCGCTAGGGTCCCAGGTCATAGTACACGCAGGAGCCTGTACGGTAGTTGTAGATAAAAGCATTCGTGTAGCTTTCTGTGGTATCGTTTGTACGATTCTCCACGGCCAAGTCAGTGAGCATCTCGTGCACTTGACTGAGATACTTCCGCTCTGTTAGCGGTGCGTTCTGGATCACACTGCGCCAGCTCTCTGCGTCGGAGAGACGTGTGTCCCGAATAGCGTCGAGGACTTCATCGCGGGTGTCGATGGCGGCGACGGGGCCATTGCGGGCGTTTTCGGCTACTTCCCGAGAGGAAAGTAGAGCTAAAACACACCATACCAGTCATTATATTGGACTAGATTGAGGATGGATTCACTTGAAACAAAAACATACCTGATTCAACAATGTTCCTTCGGTTCGTCTTCTTGCTTCGATGCTGGGGAACTAGGATGCGCACATCATTTGCCCGCTCCTGGAACGCGAGAGCCTCCTGCTGACTCATTTGACGGGATTGGCGGGGATCAGCAGTTCCCTCGCGAGGGTGGCGCGCCTGCACTTCTGATCGAAGCCACAGCACAAGTTCAGCAGCGCGGATATCGAATTCTTCCTTGCGCATCAGGCTCCGAACTTTGAATCCACGCTCCTTGCTATCTTGCTTAGCGATCACAATCCACCGGTGATTGGAGTCTTTGTATTTTGCTAGAAGTTCTTCAAGGGACGAGGCATCGACTGCAAGCTCCGCGCTTATGTTGTTTGACCAGAGTTCTTCGATGAGTTTAACGCCTATTGTGCGGAGGACGGTTGCGTCAAAGCTGGCAACAAGTACATCACACTTTGTTGAAGATCAGCACAAACTACATCTAACGGGTTGAGATGAAAAGTCACTTACCCGACGGGCCCCCCAATACAACTCGGCGCTTGTCTCGGAGTCTTTCGACGGAGCCTTAGCCTTCAGGTAATCGATCATTGATGAGCGTAGTCGATCCGAGCCGAGGTTGAAGCCCACAGCGTGCGCTTGTGGTCGATTTGATAGGACATTGGGTGAAAATTCCTGAATCAACCGATCATATCTTCCACCCGCAGCAAACACATCGCGTCGTTTGCTATCAAAAATACACTGGAACAGAATGCTACCGCGGTAGAACTTGTCTTGAACACTACTGAGTGGGTTGATGTAGATTTTTCGTTTCACACCGAAACTCTGCAGATAGGTCATGAGCACGTTCAAGCGAGCGAATATTGGTGAAATCCGCTCTGCGTATTCGGTTCCTTCCATGATATTCTGAAGCCTGCGTTGTGTGTCCTTCGGCGAATCTGCATCATCTTCATTAGCATATTGTCCCTGATCTGGGGAAGTAAGCTTAAGTACCTCTGAAATCGAAACGCGCAAGGTCATCCAATGAGGTTGAAGCAACACCAATTGATGGGGCTCGGAGTTCACTTCGAATCTTTTGCATGGTATATTTTCCAACATTCAACTTACTGAGAACCTCCTTTGCCTTTGGGATTTGGGCAGGCGTAATGCGACAGAATTCCATGATAAGTTGGAGCAAATCGGAGTGGTTAACAAGGAAGCACATCGGAGTAGACCGCAAAGGCGGGAATTCCTCAATGATTTCATCCAAAACTTTGATCACTTCTGCCTCTTTTAAGGCTAGATCCAGAGTGTTGTAGGACACAATATCGAAGTCAACTTCACGGTGAGTTCGTGGTTCGCTGCCATGTGTTGATTCTCGGTAGACTGTGCCGAATGCAAATGTCTTCTCCAGTGAGCGATCTTGTCTTGGAATTGCTCGTGCGTTTGGAAGGGTGAGATCATATGGCAACTGTAAAAGATTGCCAGATGCATCCAGCACGCGTACTGCACCGTTGTTGTAATGCTGGGATCTGGGGAAGAGCATTTGTCTTGTTGACTCAACAGCACCATGTCTTCGAAATATCGAGGTTAGCTTCTTCTTGACCAGACCCTGGACAAGTAGTTCGTTCGCTGCCGGTACCGCGTGCGAGTCTATGTCCCAAGCAATATCTTCGAATTTCTTAGGCGACTGAGAAAAAATGGCTGATAGAATCTTTTTGTAGTCGGGTGAATTTGGATCCGAGAGCAGATGCACAATAGCCCGTCTGAATGTTTCTTCCTCGACCTGGAGAGGTATCTTTCCACTGGACAAAAGGTCGGAGGCTGTGGGCCGTTCGCTCGGGGTATGGCTCAGAAGAGATTCAATGATCTCGCCTTGGAGCAACTTATCAGATTGCTGGAAAGTGGGCGGAAGAGTGTGATTCTTTTCTCGGATTTCTCGAAGAGTTTGATCTCGTTCCATGCCAGTCGGCAATGGATGACACATCTCAAAGAAGATAACACCGAGCGAAAACATCTAGAATGCGTGAGCATATACTTGTGGTCCCAATTGTATGTTCACTACTCACATCGACCTTCTCATTGTAGTGGCCCGAAACAACTGACTTCATCTCCGGTGCCACATAGTAGGTTGTACCCAAACTGCGAGTAAAGTCTCCTTCAAAGTCCGCGGCTGCGGACGAACGCACGGCCGTGGTGAATTGACCACTTGTTGCAAGACCAAAGTCACCAATGCGGGGATTATTTGCAACATCAATGAAGATATTGTCAGGCTTCAAGTCACGGTGTATGATTCCGTGGCTATGGATGTGGCTCAAGCCATCGAGAATTTGCCGAAAGAGACGCCATACACGCTCGTTGTCATCGCACAAATCATCCTTTATTAGATCGCGCAAGGTCTTTAGGGCAATATTAGTTCAGAACAACGAGCATGCTGATATCAAAACACTTACATGCT